ATTCATGATAAGTGGACTATTGCTCTTTACAATTTAATATTCTCTGGTTTACCAATTATTGTATTAGCTGTTATGGATAGAGATGTATCAGCTGATGTTGCTGAAAAATTCCCAGAACTTTATTATCAAGGTCAAAAGAATAGATTTGTAAGTAGTTTTCTTTTATTATTTATTTAGTAATTTTATTAATTATTAACTATATTTTTTCTATTGTTCTATGTAAACAAATAATCATCATCATTATATGAAATGTTTTAAAATACTTTAGTTCAATGCTAAAGTATTTATATCATGGGTTGTTAATTCATTATTCCATTCACTTGTTTGTTTCTTTGTTCCATATTATTGTTTGGTTGATAGCAAATTCCTTGATGGACATGATATTGATCCAGAAACTATTGGTATTGTCATTTATTCATGTGTACTTGTTGTAATTTCACTTAAATTATGTATTGAAACATCATCTTGGACATGGGTTAATGTTTTAATTTATACTGGAAGTTTATTATCATGGCCTGCATTTATATTTGTTTATGGAAGTATTTATTACATATTTGGATATCCATATCCAGTTATATCTGAATTTTATGGAATTACAGAAAGATGGAGAATATTCCTAACACCACAATTTTACATGATTGTTTTATTAGTAACATTTATGTGTTGTATTAGAGATATATTCTGGAAAGGATTTGTTAGAATGCGTTCAAGAAATGCCTATTACCAAATTCAAGGAAGAAAGAAATCAAAGAAATCAAGACAAGAAATTTTGGAAAATTTCCCATTCGAAGAAGGTTTACCTGTCAAGATGAAGAAAAAGAAAAAGTTCAATGTCGTAGAATTACAAGAAATTAAGAAGGTATTCGAAACTGCTGTTACAAGTGTTGCTAAATTTAATTATCGTGGATTTGCATTCTCACAAACTGAACAACAAGGTGATTTCTTAAAACAATATTATAATGGTACAAGTAGTACAAATAATAATAATAATGGAAATAATACAAATACTACTAATAATACTACGACTACTACGACTACTAGTAATACAGGAATGAATACGCTGCCTAATAGTGCAAATGATAATGTTATTATCAATATCTCTAATGATGATATAATTACATCAAAAGAAGAATAAAATGAATTTTCAATCAAATTGATTGACTTTTTAACATTTCCTAATGTAATTAGCATCTCTTGCAAATGAATTTATTATCTCCAAATGAGAACAATCAATGTTGACACTCCATGACTAGAGATAGGTTTACTGACCTGCTTTGTTTCCTTTTTAATATGTCATTCGTACCATTTTAGCGTTTTTCAAAAAGAATTTTCCAGCCTCATTTCTAGCTTCAAAAAAACAAACCGACCAGTAAACCAATTCAAACAATGTTCATCTCAAAATCAACAGAAAAAGACTTTGTCCCACACACTGAAAGAAAACGAAAGTCGATTCGATTTTCAAAGAGTGGTGCACTAGGAAATTTAGATGACAAACACATAACATTCATCAGAGGAATACACCAACGAACTATTTCATTGGCTGTTTATCCAAAACAAGGTATTTTACTTCAAGTATTAAGAGAGGAATTTAATGATAATGGATTGTCATATTTCTATGATCCAGAGCAAAGGAAGGAATTAGATTATGCTGGCTTGTGGGAAACTTCAACGAGGACCATATTAGTCTTGGAGGATAGTGATGATGTTAATGTATTATTGAGGGAATTTCAAAAACAATATTGTTAATGCCCATGTAATTATTTTGAATATAAAAGTAAAATTTATTTACGTTTCTTTTGATTACCAGCAGCAGTATTGAATTGATTAATATAATTTTCCAAAATACTACGTGTACTACTCATCATATTAATTGCATTCAAGTCTGAAAGTGGTTGTAATAATTTTTCTCTAATAAAAATAGATAATTGTGAATTTAATAAAAATCTTTCATAATTTTCCAATTCACTTCTTTCAGTTTGTTGCATTTTCAATAACATTTTTTCATAATAATCTTCCTTTCCAATTATAATTAAAATAATAATTCTATTTAAACCTTCTAAAAATCTTAAATCATTATAATATTGATATTGATAATATAATAATGTTACAATTCTAATTATATTTAATTCATAATTATTATCATTAATTAATTTATAAATAAATTTAATAAATAAATAAATTGAATCTTGATTTACAAATTTAATAATTTTAAATAATGAATTTGAAATTTCATTCCAATTTTTATCTTTACAAATTGAATATAATTCTAATAATAATTCAATCTTTTCATAATTATTTAAATATTCAGTTTGTAAAATTGATTGAATTAAATTTGAATTAAATTGTAATGAATGTGATGATATTAATTTTTTAATATTTTCAAATTTACAATATTTTATAATAAATAATATTGTTTTAAATCCCATATTATTTAATAATATTTGATCATTTAATATTATATTAATTAATATACTTGATTCATAAAATAATAATTCACTTGTTGAATCATTTGTTATATTATTATTATTATTATTAAAAATACTATTATTAGAATTATTATTAGAAGTATTACCATTATTAGAAGTATTATAAATAGAACAAATTAAAATCATTAAAAGTCTAATAATTTCATTATTATTTCTACTATTAAAAGTCTGACTTGAAATGATTAAATTAGTAGATTTACGTAATTGTATTTTAATCCAATCAATTAAAGCAAAATCCTTTAATAATTTTTCTCTTGATTTTCTTAATCTAGTAATAACATCAATTAAAATTCTACAAATAGAAATTTGTTGATAAACTTGATATGATTTTGATGATTCTAATTGATCAAATGACATTAATAAATGTTGTATAGTATTATTTTTAATATATTCATCCATAAAATCTTCATCTGTTTGATATCCATATAATAATACTTTTAAATAATTAACTCCAAATACATTAATAGATTTAATATAATCTCTATGAATTGGGAATGATTTTAATTTTAAAAATGGTCTTTGAAATCCAAAGAATCTTGATACATCTCTCAAAGTTACTCTATTATTAAATGTTAATAAATTTAATGTTAATAATGGTCTAATATATTCTTCAAAGAAATTTAATTCATTTAAACATGAATGATTTCTTAATGATTCTAATACTGTTACAAGTAAATTATTGAATCTTCTTCTTCTTCTGATGAGTGAGGATGATTAGAATTTAATTGATTAGATTCATCCTTTTCATCGGTCATTAAATTATTATTATCAAATGATTCACTCTTCTNTGAATCATACTTTGAATCATACTTATTGTTATCATACTTGTTATTATTAGAATTATTAGAATTATCTTCAACACTTTTTAAAATTGAATTACAAATAACAGATAACATCATTGACCAAGGTAAAGATAATTTTAAATAAGGAACAGCCATTGAAATTTTAACTTGTCTCAATACTAAAACTAAAACTTCATAAATATCAGATTCTTGATTTCTATTAACATGATTAACAATGAAATTATAATACATTCCAATAATTTCATATGCTAACATTCTAACATAATAATCATTTGAACATGTACCTCTAAATGCAATACTAATAAATATACTATTTTGTTTATATAAACTAGATAATGGAAAACATGTCATTAAATACATTATATATCTTAATAAATATCTAATATCATATATTTCATTATTATTAATTAATTCTTTATAATTATCTTTATATTGATATACTTGTTGATTACCATATAAATTTATATCATAAGGTACATTATTAATTGTATTATAAAGTATGGTTTTATCATATTGTTGATGGAAATTATTAAATTCTAATGTTAAAAATTCTTGTTCTGTTAATTTTCTATTATTTGAATTATTATTAGAATTATTAGAAGAATTATTAGAATTTGAATTATTAGAATTATTAAAATGTTTACA